AAGGCATTTGGGGGTGGCATTTTTTGCTGCCCCCTGAAAAATGCCGCCCAAGGCAAATGCCTTGTTTGCCTCGCGGCTAATACGCCCCTGCACACACACACACACACACACACACACACACACACACACACAGATATGCAGTACCACAACACACAGTGCTAGCCACATGCTTTCTAAGACACATTGCAGAAAGATCACACTCCCAGACACACCCAAACACACAAATTTGGAAATATATGTACATATTTATTTTTGTCTCCCTTCTGTGTTGCGTACAGGAAGATGGCTTCCAGTCATTAATGTCTAATTGGTAGTGTGACGGACCACCTTGCACCCCGACCAGGTATTTCTGTCAATCGCTGCTTCCTAGTACTTGCAAGCACCATAAGCACTGCACTAGAACACCATAACCACCGTAAACCCCACAACTTGCTGCAGCTTGGTTGGGGCCTCGCTGTAATTCACCCGCCCTCGACCTCTCCTAGTCCAGGGAGTGAGGCAGGCTGCTTTTACAAGAGCAATCGTTGTGATCCAAGGGAGTATAGTGATTATAGCAATCCCCAGAGTGTGAATATAGCTCTCCAATCCCCCAAACATGAGCCTAGACTTCATAAAGGGTAAAACAAATCAGTTTAATGGTAGCCACAGCTGGCCTTTTATGACAGTCCCCATGCAAGGGGCACTGCCCCCCTGGACCTGAGAGTAAACCCCAGTAAAAACAAACACACAATTACATTGGCTCTCAGGTTCAGGACACTCCCATACAAATTAGGTCAATCCCTCCCCTATGCCTGGGAGATAATTGAGTCAAGCACTATACTAAACTCAATTATCTCCAGACACAAAAAACACACTTTTTTACAAAACTCCAAAATACCTTAAAACACACAAAATCCCCACAAAAGTTACATCCCCTCATCGCCCTGATCTGGGTGACCAACATATGCAAAAATCACTCAGATCAGTTCAGGAGTCCATCAGTTTCCTGGAAGTCTTAATTTTGACCGGCCGCCTGCATGGTCCCATGCCCAAAACAGTTCCAGAAAATCAGGGCTTGCGGTCAGTCTAGTTCGGTAGTATAGGACCGAACAAAATACCGAACACAGTCAAAGTTCTAATTAGTTGCCATAAACTGTCACTATAAGCAACTGGTGACTTCTAGCAGATATAAAATACCATAACATTTCACAACATGTTGCTAAGATGTAGCAAACCATCGCTAATAACAGGTGCTGCTACAGATACCAACCAATAGTATATTAGCAAATTGATGGTTTTGCCCGGAAATACACACTTGAACAGGCGCACTGCTCCCTCTGGGATCATTACTAACTTTTTACAGATTTAGCTAACATTAAAGGGAACTGTCAATTTACAGGAGGTTTTTTTTTTATATCACATGCTTATTGCTATATTTAGCTATATATTGTTAGGTGTGAAAATATTAAATATAGAAGCTCACAGCTCTTTATCCTGCAACTGGGCGCCTCCATCTTAGCTTCCTGTCAGTCATTGTTAGAAGTTCTGTCCTTTGTACCTGGCATTCAGCATATTGAGAGCAGACAGAGAAGAGGAAACATGAAACAATATTTCTATTTTCTCAAATAATATCAGACAAAATGTTTGGATCAAAGGATTAGGAACTCAACTTGACGAATGGAAGATATGTTAATATGCTGACGATATCTTAATCTCTATTACGGATCCACTGGTCTCGCTTTCTCATTTAATGCAAGAATTCAACAACTATAGTAGTGTTTCAAATTATAGTCTGAATACGAATAAAACAATAGCTATGCCCATTAATATACAAAAAGTTAATCTAATTTCTTTAAAGAAAGATTTTGATTTTAAATGGACGAAAAAATAGTTTATATATTTAGGGGTGATTATAACTGCAGATATAAGACAGACTATGGAAATTAATTTTCTGAAATTGTTAAAAGAGACTAATATGTTATTAAAAGAATGGAGAGTGCATGACATCTCCTGGTGGGGAAGGATAAATACTATTAAAGCCTATATAATTCCTAAATGGGCATACCTATTCAGTATGCTACCTCTCTCGATTTCAAGCTACTGGTTGAATATGCTGCAAAACAGCATTACAGCTTATATTTGGAGAGGGAAGAGACCAAGAATTAATACATATACTTTATCAAGGAAGGCCCAGCAGGCAGGGGGGGGGTTTGGTTACCCCCTAGTTAATCAAATCTATCAGGCCAGTATGCTGGTCCACGCTAGTAATCTACAACTAAGTAATTTTATAGACCAAGCTTGGTATAAATTGAGGCAGCCAGAGTCGGTCTAGATAATCTCAACTTCTCTTATGGAGAGAGGCAAGTCAGAATAAGCATTTGTGTGAGATTACTTCTCATTTAACTTTGTCTCTATCACAGACATTAAAATAATGGACTATTATAAAGAAAAAGCTGAATATTAATAAAAAAACTATATGAGAACCTCAGTCTAAGGTCGTTAGAATGTTTTATGTTAGAGATAAATCTGACAAACTGGTTTAAAGATTCTAATTACAAGATAAAAGATCTTAATAATGATCATCAATTGAAAAGCTTTGAAGTTCTGAAAAATTGGTTAGATATACCTTCTAGAGAATTATTTAACTTCCTTCGTATTAAGAGCTATATAAAAGATAACATATTAGAGCTAGACGGCCGTTTTGGTAAATTGTTTAGGATAATTTTTTCCGGGTGTAAGGTTAAAAATATATTCTCTATTGCAGTAGGACTAATAAAAACTAAGGGGACTCCAGTTATCCCCAAAGCTTTAACCAAATGGGAAACTGACCTAGCAATACCTATTCCATTTAATAATTGGTGTATATACTTTATGAGGACTAAAAAAAACATTCACTGTCAGAATATTCTAGAGACTTTTACTAAAATATTGTATAGATGGTACTTGGTACCGACTAGACTTGCTAAAATATCTATTACTAATCCATCTAATTGTTGGCGGTGTCTACACCCAGATGGTTCTATGTTCCATATATGGTGGACCTGCCCTAGAATTAAGTCTCTCTGGAATATTACATTTGAATTTATATATAGGATTGGAGGTTTACATCTGGAACATAAACCGGAAATTGCCCTATTCCATCTTATG